TCCTGACCCTGTCCCCTAGGTAAGCTTATGGAGGCAGAACCCTGCTGTGGGGCAGTAGAGAGGAGAGCTTTCTTTTTCCTGTTGCTTCTTGAGCCCTAAGCAGACAAGTTTGCATTTGAACAACAGATAATGAACCTTAATTTATTTTCCTGCTAAATAAGTTGAGCAGAGATCCTCTGATTCTTTAATGACTGCCTAAATCTAGTAGTCTTCACTTAATACCCAAGGTGAAATGTCATTGATAAAATTAGAAGATTGCTTTTTCATTCTCAGCTGATTTGTCAGGACAGATCAGCTGTGAATGCCACACCACTGACTTTGGGCCAGGTCCATCTCATTTTCCCGGAACCTCCTTGGCTCTGGAAGCAACTGAGAAGGAAGCCGACTCTGGGAATTGAATACCGTTGATAATATTGCTTAGTCACAAAGATGAGTTTGGTGCCTCTGCCCATTGGCCAAGAACCACCTCAGCATCTGTCTTAGTACTGAAGGCTGCAATTATCTTAGGGAGCTGAAGAGATTTAAAAGAACAAACAATAAGTGAAAGTAATATTTAGCTCCCTTTAAGTAGATACCTCCCTCTCCCTGGGTGGGGACTAGTGAACACTAATAAAAATCAATGAAGTGGTTTTGTTGAGTGCCCATTAAGAACTGCAGTATATTAGGCACTGATGACAATTAGAACAAACCTAAATTCTGGATGCTTCCCTCTGGAAACTCTTGTTCTCTACCTAGAGAGCCAAGACTAACATTCCTATTACAGGATCAAACTGTCCAAGACCGTGTGAAATGACTGGCAAAACTAAATAGGAATCACATGAGATTCTAAATGCCATAGGGAGTTCAGAGGAGAGAAAGGGGGTAATGATGAATGAATTCTAGGGTGATTGGAGAAGATCCCCTGAAACAGTCACGATCTCAGTAGGCCTTGAAAGATTAAATGGGCTTAGCTTGTGGGAAGTGAAAGAGGAAATGAGAGTAATAACCTGAACAAGGTCAGGGAGGTGAGAGTAAAAGCTATGTGCTAAGAAATAAAATCTGTCAGTGTAGGAGGAGCAGATGTGAAAGGAGTGACTACTCAGCAGTAGAGTGTAGGCAGTACATGCTGTTAAAAGTTTTGGAGCAGGTAAGTGTCAACAAGAAAGGAGGGAGGGTGTGGAAACACTTATGGAAGTTGGCTGGGCCAGGAGAAGGATAGCTGCTGCAGTGTTGTTCAGAGGTGGTTGCAGCAATCCAGGCACAGTGATGGTGGCCAGGACCAGGTTGGTGGCCGAAAAAACAGAGAGGAAAAGGTGCGTGAGAAACATTTGGAATAAAACATCTGTGTCAGTTGGCGCCTGATGGGCTTAAGAAGGATGGGCGCTGTTGGTCAAGGCTGAGAAATTAGGAAGGCTAACTAGATTGGGAGTTGAGATTTTATTTCAGTTTTTGATGTTCTGGCAAGACATCTTCATGGAAATGCCCCTGAAACATTTGAAGATAGGATAAGAAACACTGCTCAGAAACTTGCTCCAGCCAGAATTTTCTAGAGTCATCGGTCTAGAGGTAGGAGTTGTGGCAGTACAAGTGACTGTACAGAAGGGGAAGCATATAGCAGGGGGCCAGGAACCAGGGTCTCCGCAGGGAGAGGGGAGCCGGGAGGAGGTTGGTGGGGGCGGCCAGGAAGGGGACTGGGAGCCTAGAATAGGGGACAGTGCTTGCCTGACCTCACGAGCTCTCTCATTTTTAACTCTTAACAGCACTTGCCCTCCAATGATGTTACTTGATCTTCCCAGCAGCCCAGTAGAAGGGAGAACAGAGCTCATCAGGATTCTGTAATAGTTTGATTTCTGGGTGAAACCCTACATGTTGTTAATGTACTTTAAAGCATCAGAGTTGTATGCTTGAACATGGTAACTTCACTGAGTGATTATCATAATTCTAATTGAACCACAATATTTCAGTGGTTTCCTTTTTCTATTCTATAATCTACTTTATTAATGGTAACAGGTTTTTTAAAAAAAAAAGGCGTACTAATGCCACCTCTTAAAAAAATGTCTCCTCATCCTTGTTGTGTTTCAAACACAGGCCTAAGGAAATTAAAGCTGCTTTTTCCCTCCTTTTTATTTTTTATTTTTTCCTACTCAGATCTTTAAAACCAGTAACTACATGAGGGAGAAAGTCAGAGACTTTGGAATATGGCTATCTGAGGTTGGAGGAAGTGTTGCTACTATTTCTGGAAATTTTTTTTCTCTTTTTTGGTCCTGTACCTGTACTTTGCTAAGAAGTTACTTAATGGACTAACTGGGAGAATCTGTAGAGAGATGGAAATAAAAACAATGAACTTGAAACTTTTCTATTAAAGATTCTCATTACAGTGAATTCTAAGGAACTATCTAAAGGCATACTTCATTGGAAATTTGTATGGAATAGTGTTTAAAAATTTGAGCCCTCACCAGAAATTTGGAGATCTTTCAAATACACAAAGACCTTAATGCACTTTGGTCATTGTGGTAGTAAGATCCATCTGTCTTTACACTTTGGGTTGTCTGCATTTTTCACACAGAGTGTATGTGTGTCTGATGTACAAGTTAGGTGCCATTGTATTTCACAATGGTGCAGTGTACAGAGGATTTTGAAAAGATCATGTCGATCCCCTTTGGTAGAAGGAATCCGACATAATCTCTGCATTTGTGAAATAAGCAAGCACATTTATGTCTGTTATATTAATAAATACTGAGTCCACTAGTTGTCTACCATTTGCTCTTTTAGTTTTTTATGCTTAAGACTGTATAAAGCCAAAACACAGAATTAAACAATGGACTACCAAATAGGCATTTAGGAATGGATTACTTCTTCTAGTGATACAGCAGTTGGAAAAGTACTTCATTTGTCAGGTGTCTTCTTTCCAGTGTTTTAGCAACCTCCCCAGACTTACTTGGGCTTGAGGGCTGAGGCAGGTCACTTAACATTCCTCAGTGTCTCTGCTCTGAGGTCCTTTGCATTCAAGATACCATGCAACTCATCAGGTCTCCTTGGGATGCTTATAGATGGAAGCTGAGCTGGCTTACAGTTTATTCCAGCATAAAGGCGTATCCTCTTAATTTATCTCTTTGGCCATAGTGGCATGGAAGAACGTAGCTCTAATGACATGGGTTTTTTACGTAACGAAGTGGGTTTTCTGTGTCTCCTGTAGTGAACTTTAGATGTCTCCCTCAGGAATAGGTTTTAACCATCAGTGAAATGGTTTGACTGTAACCACACTGGGGTCTCAGTTATTTTTTTCTCTTGCCCCTTCCATCCCCAGGCAGAGACTCCTCTTGCTGTATATCCACTATGCTCCAATGCTGTATTTATTTGATCAGAAACAAAAGAGTTTGCTTCTTGCACTGGTTCAGAGAGAGGTCCCCCAGGATTGTCTTTTGTTCAGTAATTGGAGCATAAGCTGAGCCTGGTTAATTTCAAAGCTACCCCCAACGCAGTTTCCCTCTCTTCCTCCCTCCTTGCTTGTGCGGTTTCTGAGCCGCGAGTGATACCTTGTATTGGGTCTGAAACAAGCTTGAATTGTTGAATGTTAGCTACAACTACTGTGACATCTGCTATGGCACCAAATAGCACTGTTGGTACAGTTAATTTTAAGTTAGGAGAAGAAACAAAACTAGAAAGCTCTTCAGCTTTACAGCTCTTGTTAACACATGCACCTCCAAATTATGCATTTGGTGCTATCACAATGAATAAAACAAAGGAAATCATGGGTTGATTTTTATGTTAGTAACATAAGTTCTTTCATTGTTATTCACTGTGTAGACACCAGTGTGTTCTTATGTTCATTCTTTTTCCGTTTAGTTTTTTTTTTTTTCAAGGCAGAAACGTCTGAAACATCTTAACTCTGAGCATTTAATTGGCAAAAGTTCTGATGTAAGAAATATGAGTTGATTATATTAGTTGTTTTTCTTTTAAAGCAGCAAAGTCTGTAACTTGGTTCTGCTTTTTTAAAATACCCAAATGATTGTTGCAGATGAATAAGAACCTTAAGTAGCCAAATTCTAGATACTAAGTAGCCAAGTTAATATTTGTATAAAAATGTTGTAAAATTGGCAAATCATGTGTCCTTCAGGTTCTGCAGTATAGGTATTAGTTTTGCAGCCAACACAGTTGCAGTTATAGGGTTTGTGGTTTTTGTTTTTGAAGGTGGAAGGATCTTTCTCTTTTGCAGAAAAGAAGGATTTTTCTTTTCCAGTCTGCACTGTAATGACGGTCCACTACCTTACTGGCCTGACTTTAATCATCTCGTGCCTGATTCTCAGTGCGGTTTCGTCTCTGCTTTTGCACAGGCTTTCTTGTGATTGCACAGTTGTTTGCTGCATTAAATTTCTTTTAGTGACAATAAAAAACACATGTTAGTATTTTGAGGTCATCTTTAATTCTCAGGTAATACATTAAAACCTAAAGAGGAAAAAATCCCTTTCTGAGAAACATTTTAAAAAAACCATTATGGTAGTATGGAAATACTCATTATTTACACATCATATATTTTCCCCTAAATGTACAGAGAAGTGACAGTTGAGCTGAGCATATGTTAATAAAAGGTCTGCATTTTCCTGTGTCACTGACAGTTTCTTTGGCTCTATATTCCTGAAATGCAAATAACCTTGGTTCTGTTCAAAGCTATAATTAATCTGAATAGTTATTTAAACAGTATTGAAATCTTTTAACTACTGAGAGGCCAAACATATAAGATGGTAAATTTACCATTCTGTTTGAAGGACAGTGCAATTGATGAGGGCACAGTGAGCTGAGATGCTTGTGGAGGTTGAATCTACACATTCTGTAGGCTAAAATGGCAGAATCTGCCTGCTGCTGTATAAAATCTTTTAACTACCATTTATTTTAGCATCATGGCATGTGCAAATTCCTGCTGCTCAGTTAAGGGACCAGCTTCACAACTGGTGTTACAATCTGTGGCCACAGCACTGCATCACAATGCAGCAAATGCATTTTCCACATTAACCAAACATGACAGCTGAAGCGAGTATTAACCATGCAAGATGTCGGAAGTCATCAAAAATTCACATCAGAGTAATTGCAGTGGCTTGGGTCAAAAAAAAAAAAAAGTATCATAGCATTCCTTGCCTACATGTTGTCTCTCCCCCTCTTAAATCTTAACTTGGTACAGTCCGTTAACAATAAAATACCCTTCTGTAACCTATAAACTGTTACTCCCATCAGTTTGTGCTTTCAAACTGATGGCTGACTTCTCTGAATTTGTGTGGAGCAACACGGGTGACGATGCTCTGTCCTGGGGGCTGTGAGCACCCTTTTTAAGGGGACCCTGCAATCTCATTGTCTAATTAGACTCTAGTGCTTCAGTCGTATCAGCATTTGCAGGGTGCTATCTTTTCCTTTTTCTTCGTACTCTCTCTTCTTTCTCTCTTCCCTGTCTCTCGCTCTCCTCTCCTCCCCCCTTTCATTTCTGGCTGTTCGGAGTGGGGAAAACTTGAGCACTGGTTCCAACAGAGCTCATCCCACATAGAAGGTATGGAAGAGCTGCAGTGACCAACAACGTCGACCGGTCTCCTTAAATTGGAGAAACTCCTTAAATTGGAGAGCTGCAGGTAGGATTGCCTGTGTTTCATAGAGAAATTAAGATGAATGCACCTTAAAAAAAGATTAATGTACTCTAGTAAACCCATTGATGGCATGTTGTTGCAATACCTCTGAAAGATAAGATCTCGGTTTGTTTAAAATTTTGAGATGAATTCAGAAGCATTTAACTCATTTGATAGAAAAAGTACTTGATTCTCCTGAGAATTATTCAGATTTGTGCCTTGTCATTCTAACATTTTTCTTTAAAAAAAAAAAAAATCTTTTGGGTGGGGCAGATAAGCATTCTCTTAAAGATTTATATAGTGCGATTATTTAGGCTTTTTGCAGACTTCATCTTTAAGTAGTAAGTAGTGTGGACTTTCTTTAGGATTTTTTTTTGAAAAGATGCATGTGAAGTGTAGAATTCTTACATGAGGTAAAATATTAAAATAGAATTTTTCTATGCTAAAATCAGATCCTTTGGGATTGTAGATGAGAGAGAGTGGGGGGGGGGATGCTTTACCAAGTAATTCAGTCATTTATATTTTGTTATGGGAAGAAGTACTGTTCAAGGTATCTGGAATCATCTCACAAGTAGTGCTTTGGCATAAGACTTTAAATGAAAATTAAATACAGCATCAAAGATGTGGATTCTCAAGTGTTATCAAATGTAGGTGATTTGAATTGAGATAGTGACTTTTCCTATCCCAAATTTGTCCTCAGAAGAGTGTGATATGAACACTTTAAGTATATTTTCAATTTTTGGTGCAAAATCATGATTTGTATAAGTGAAATGAAAAACTTTCTGAGTCCTCTAAGCCTTATCTGGAGGGTGGTAAAATGATAAATGTTTGTTGCCTGTACCACTGTTAATACCTTGACTAATATCAGAGATAAAATGCTTTTGATTCAGCATTAAAAAGCAGCTTGATTGTCTTGTCTTCCCTTAAAAACAACGCGCCCCCCCCCCCAAAAAAAAAAGCCAATGATACATAGCTTTTTATCCCAAGGATTGTATTTGTATCATGGGACCTGTAGGGTCTGGACTTCTTTCTGAAGCTTGGACTTGGAAATTGCTCACCTAGTTAAGAGATTTAGCTCCCTTCAGAGGTGTGGGACTTTCTGTACTCTTAACAATAGGAAGACTTGAGGTGCTGTCAAGTGAGGAATAGAAGAGAACAGCTCAGGGAAGACAGGAAGTGTGAGAATTTCACTTGTCTCAGTATTGGAGGTCTAGATTTACCCAGGACTAAGATTGCTTTAAAACTCTGACCCAGTGCAGCATTGCAATGAATTGATTTCTGGGATGAGACAATGAGCTGTGGTTTGCATTTTGTGAAGATGGAGGAAACCTCTAACACTGACCCAGTACAGGAGATGACTCAATTATCCGTGCCTTGGTACAGTTGCAAATTATTTTCCTTTGTCTGAAGTGGGAGGATGCCAGTGCCTTCATCAGAGCTCCTTAATTTAATGTATGGAAAATGTCTCAGCCACCATTTTTAACAATTAGCTGTATCATGGTTGAGGTGAGCTGGGTTCTGAAGGCAGCTGCAGGGCCATTTCATTTACATTAGGTTCTGTGGCACGAGAGCTTTGTTACTGTAAAAGTCAGAAAATGAAATTGCACGCTACATAGAAGAGTTCTGTAGGAGGGTGGAGAGCATTCCCAGAAAGAAAATGGAATCCTTTTGTCTACAGTATTTCTCATACTCATATAGCGGTGAGAAGTTGAAAATCTGTCTTTGGTTGAATGGACAAAATAGACTTTAGAATGAACACTGCAAATATTAAAGGTATAAAACAGAGATTGTGAGATATATTTTTTATGTATGTGTTAGAAACCAAGTGTGATATATATTGATATATATGTGTACTTGAAGTATGGGTTTTGTGAGTTGTTTTAATGCATGCTTTTAATTAAGTATTCATTGGTAATTTAAGTTAATGAGAGGTATGAATTTATCAGTCGTCAAAGATGAAAGTGATACTTGAGAGAGAAAAGAAATCTAAATATGGTATATTTAAGAGAGTTCCAGCTTCTTTTCACTGTCTTTTACAATTTGTTTTCCATTTATGAAGCAATTGCTGTATTTTAGGGGTTTTATTGTTGGGTTTTGTGTGTGTGTGTGTGTGTTTTTTTTCTAAGAAAACGCTTCCAATGTTAATGATCTATAATGGCTGATTAAAGTATATAGGGAAAATGTTTTAACAAAAGAAGATTTTGTCCTTAAGAGATCAGTAGATGGAGGGCTTTCACTCTCATTAAAGGGGATAATTTTCAGTGCCTCTGTTTAATTAATAGTTGACTTCAAAGCTACTTGTAGAAAACTCTTGTTTGTGATTGTCAGCTTAGATATCTTGATTCTTAAAATTAATTGGATTTGACTTGGCTTATTCCTTTGTTCCTTTATGGTGTTACTAAGAGGAAACAAGTGGATTTTAACTTTGATTTGTGTGTTTATGTTTTCAAAGGCACTTAACCCTGAAGAATTTATAGTAAGTTGTGTTTTACAGTAAACTGTACCATGAAGAATTTGCTCAGAATACTTTAGTAGCTGTTTCAGGAGTTGAATCTTCACAGAACTAGCTATCTTTTGACTTGATACCAAATTTATAAAGCCAACTGCTCTTCCAAGTCTTGTTGCAGTAGCTGTTGTTCATCTTCTTCACTGAATGCTGTTTTCTCTAATTAGGAGATGTTTTTGAAACTAGGAGAGAGGAGGGTTTTCACATCAGTCTTTTCATTGAAATTGGAAGGCTCAGTTTTCCTAAGCCCTCTTTAGAATCCCATAAAGATTCCGTAAATCTTGCATTAATCTTATGCTTGTCGCATAAGAGCCTAGATCTCAATATAGTTTTACTAATCCTGAAAGAGACATTTAATATATTAATTGTTTACTGTATATAGTAGAATGCAAAGGGATTCTTTTCCTTTGGTTTTTACAAGGCTTGCACTTTGAAATAAAAGACTTGGAGTACAGCAAATTAGAACTCCTCTTAACTGCATCTTTGCCTGCATAAATGTTTGGTTGGATGACATAAAGGGTTATCACAAAGCCTTCCCTTGACATTTGAAAGTAAAACTTGGTTAAAGATGCTGGTCTTATTTTCTTTCTCTGGCTTTATGTAAGCTGTGTACCAGGTACTCTGAGGACATAGCAGAGACCCAGCTGCTTTCCATTTTCTTTACCTTCACCATGGTCTACTCCATGGTCTACTCAAGAGTGGCTACTGGGGAGAGGCTCGCATTTCTGGCACTTGTAGGGGATTCCTAAACCTCTTTAATGTGGAAATTTTAGCCTGTCTGGTAGTAGAGAGTCAGAGACTGGGTCTTTCTGCTGCAAAAAATAGGTTCCTATCAAACCTTTGAATACTCTGGCAGTGCCATAATGTAGATAAGCTAACTTGTCGGCCAGCCTGCTAGGAGACGTTCGTGGCACTAAGATGGCAGTGAGGAAGGAGGAAAATGGCGTCCCCAGGAGCCCTGTGAGAAGAGGTGGGCCGCACGGGTCATCTTCCTTCAGTCAAGTCTGAAGATACTCTAGCAGCACTACCTTGCCAGTTTACAGTTACTTTTTATTCTGTTAAACAGTAGAGATTTGAGATTTTCCTGAAGTAAAGACTGAATTAGCACTTGTATCTAGATAGCTTCCGATTGCTGCTTTTAAGAAATTGGTAGCAAATATGGATAAAACAAAAATTTAAATAAGTATTTTGTTAAGACTTCTGAATTTCCTTGCTTTGTATTTTCTTCTTTTTTTAATTGTGAGAACGTACTCCTTTCAATATATGATGGTTTTTCAGAAAACAAGACGGTATACTTCTCCTTTATGGCAAGATGAAACTGGCATTCCTGTGGGGGGGGAAAACATTATTTGTCTTTGATTCTGATTTTCTTTCTAGCTCTCTGTGGGCTTTGATTAGTTTAAGTATGAAATATATGTCAGCTGCCTTCAAAAATGAAGTTTGCTGTATTTCTTTTGTGGTTTAAGGTATGGATTATTTTGGAAGTGAGCTATAGTCATGACAATGCTAATTTCTTACCTGTTCCTACCTTTCACGGAGTTAGAATTTCTGGAACTGGCTTTAGAGTTTATGTACTGTAATCAGCTCATCTTACAGTTTAATAAAGCAAGGTTGACTGCCATTAAACAACTTTCTCAAGGTCATACGTCTGGAAAGCAGTCAATTTTGCCTGAATTCAGGCCATCAGACTCGGAATCTGTGCTATGCATCTGCCTGCATTTGACTGTTTCTCTAGTGGGCTTACTGATTGGTGATGGATCTAATGGATTGAGCTTGCAACAAAGTCTGTCTGTGCTTTAGCAACCTTCTCCCAGAGATGTTCCTTCTCAGTCTCGTCGGAAATAGCTTTATGGAGTCTGCTTGGAGTCCTCCTGATCCTTTGATGTAGACGATACGCATTTATAAACAAACAATTAAAACAAGGTAAATCCTACAGGTTGAGCTTTTAGGTCCACTCTGTTGATTTGGCATGCAGGGTGAAGTACTTGTCTCCTGGCATGGACATGGGCATTCTGATGCATCCTCCCAGCAGATCACTCCTCCTTCTCCAGGTGTGAGGGGTCCCATGGGGCAAGGTTGCCCCTCTCCTCCTAGTATGCATAGGCTAGGTGAAAAGTTTTACCTCCCTGTCTGTTTCAGGCAATTTGTGTTTGAAGAATGGTCTTGCCCTCTCCCCTCCTGTTGCTCACATTTGCCGTTTTAGCGAAGCAGTCTTTGGTGTTTTCTGTACCCGCAGTGACAATGGTGAGTGCATCCTGCAGTATTCCCTCAGCTCTGACAGGGTAAAGTCAAAACACTTCCAAACTTAATTAAGGTTTTAGAGAGAGTGTGAAACCCCAAGTACTGGTAGCAAAGGGGGTACCATGACAGATTCCATCTAAGGCAACGGGAAGTTATAAAAGAGAGAGTCTGTTAGTGGTCTCCCAACAAATACATTTTTGAAAAAGAATTTCTGAATGAGAAGAAACTGCAGCAGAACCTCCCTTTTCTGTGACAGCCA